GGAGGTTTAGATTGGATGTAAGGAAAAATTTCTTTACTGAAAGAGTGGTTAAACATTGGAACAGGCTGCCCAGGGAAGTGGTTGAGTCGCCATCCCTGGAAGTATTTAAAAGACGAGTAGATGAGGCACTTAGGGACATGGTTTAGTGGGTGGTGGTGTTGGGTCGATGGTTGGACTCGATGATCTTAGAGGTCTTTTCCAACCTCAATGATTCTATGATTCTATGATTCTTCCCTCTGTTCTTTGAGGCTTAGTATGGAGAAAGAGAAATCTGAGCAGAAAAACTAAAATGAGACCTTTTTGAAAAACTACTCGCTCCAAGTCTGCAAGATGCTTTCCAGAACTGGTAAGCATTTCAAATGAAGCTACTTCACTTCAAAACTTACTGTATAATACAATGGTAATTCCTATATCCTGGAGGCCAAGCTGACTGCTGGCTCTTAACATGGTATTAAGTACAACGGAGTCATGTCATGTTCGTTTTTCCACCCCCCTCAGAAAGAAATACAAATTTCTCTTTTATCTACATGATAACATTAGGTGTCTAATTAAATAGTACCTCTGACCCCTATAGATAGTATTCTCCTCTTTGTTTACATGTCAGTAAGACCATTACTTTCTATTTCCAGTTTATCTTGTCTTTGTATTAATATCAAGAGGCAAAACCACATTTAAGATCCCTAGTGTACAGCTTAGTCCATCCCTACTACAATGTATATTTATTTCATAGATATACATACGGTCCTTCCTATATGGAAAATAACTCTTGCATATTATATATTCTTCATTCCATTTTGATAAAGAAGTAATTCTGCAGGTTTCTTATTTTTTCCACCAAATGTTGGGGCGTAAGGGAAGAGATTTTACCCAACAAGGCTGTGTTGTTCAGATTTGTGGAAATTTTTCATCTCACAGACTAGTTTTCTTCATGTCCCTTTTCTGGACGTGACAATCCTCTTTGGGGAAGTATGGTTCTATGCTTACCTCTTTGTAAAGACTGAAATTGTTAACTCACTTTGGTGCTTCGCAGGAATAGCAATCTTAATTGAGCTGCAGGACAAAGCATGCCTAAAACACTTGAAGTTACTGGCAGGTTAGCGTTAGACCCCCAGAGATGTTACTGCTTGCCACTGACAGAAGTGGGGAACTGATCCTGATTTTGGACACCAACTAATGTGCTTGCACTAGCCTGACCAGATGGCTTCAGTTATGTCAGTGCATGTTCCCATTAGCTATAGAAACATGAGCATCTAAACCTTTATTTTAAATACGTACTTTACAGAAGAGCAAAGAATTTTGCAAACTGTTACTTACCCAGTCTACCTACTCCAGGGACGCTGTCTGAAATTCCAGAACATTTCAAACTCCCAGATGGCTACTTACTTAGTTTTAAATCATCAACCAGAATGGAAACTGGGACATCCAGTCCAGAAAAAAACCTTCTGGGACAAGATCTAAACTTTCTCTGACCATGGACTTCCCAAACCTATGAAATGTGTCAGAGATTCCATGAAAAGAGTATACAAAGATAGCACTTCAGTTTGAGAAGACAGTCAAAAATACTGGATAAACATGCTAAAGGTTTGCAGGGAAAGTTGTCCTGTTAATATCAGACATTTTGCAGGAAATAAATCACGACTGTGATCCTGGAGGAAAATGGTAAAATCTATTTGTAAAATTAATGAAGGCAAGACACTTCACTACATACAAGAGAGGGTTTTTTTTCCCTCTTCTTTTAATTTATCAGTAACAATGTCTACAATACATTGACTCACAAATTAAGTGAAGGTATGAAACCACATTCTTCATACTGAGATGCAACATCCTGGACTTTTACTTTTTAAATACCCTCTCAAGGGGGAAGAGTTCTGAACATCCAATGAACATCTTTTGAAACAACCAGTAGTGGATTTTCAATTTTAACAGTGATCATATTTAGTGAGCCTTGTCCATAGAGATCAAAATGCTTTGCAAACAAGTGCAAAGCTCAGAACCTCACTGTACAGATAAAAGGGGAGGGAAACTGAGGCACAGTGCTGTGCAGTGACTTGCCAGGATCAAGCAGCAGGCAGCAGAGATCTGGACATAAATCTCAGCTCTCTGACTCCCAGTCAGTTCCTGACTCGCCAGGCCACAGTCTCCCAGTAAGTGTATGTGGGTATCTACTGTCCAGCAGTTCATGTATTATACAGGCATATCTTCTTTCACCTCTCCTGCTGTCCCATTGGCTCCATTCAATCCTGCTGGCTCCCTGCCTTCTTCCTCTTCTTCCTCTTCCCCTTTTGCTGTCTCTGCTTCTCTGCCTCCGCTCAGGAGGGTGGCACTGGAGAGGTGGCTGAGGAGCTGGCCTTCCCGGCGAGACTCAGCCAGCTCTTTGGCACAGCACACAGGAGTGTTGGTCTCGTAAGTGCTATGGAAGCTATTATAGTCGACTTCATAAAAATCCTTCTCCAGGGAGAGGACAGGAGTGAAGCGATGTCCCCACAGCACCTCGGTGTCCATGTAGGAGCTGCGAGCCTGGCAAGTCATCCCTGGGTAGAAACAGAGGGATGTTAAATGCAAAGCTTCCTTACATGCTCACCCAACCGCTTCTTTCATTTAAAAGCACTGTCATGTTATCTCCATACCTGATTGCTCTGGGACACAGAAAAGGTCTTCGCTTAATAAGCCTCATAAAAGCCTCTATCCTGAAAAAGCTGAGCACTCAAAGGAAAAGGGATGGATTCATCGCCGCATCTTCAGGCTGTTTCCTGAACCTTGTGCTTATGGGTTTGAAGTCTGGTACCACTAAGCAGCTTCTCTCTGTCCTCACATTGCTCTGTTGAGGTGTTGCTTGCGTGGCTGATACTAACAGCACTTCTGGTGAATCGTGCTAGAACGACATCCAACCCTGCCAATGCACCTCAAATCCTGACCCACACAGCCCCTAAGGAGAATGAACCACTGCCCTGCACTCCCACCGTGTCTGACCCCATCCCTCTTCATCTACAGCAGTATCAGCAGTTCCCTCCTGCACTTAGGTTAAGACACCAAGTTGTATAGCCCGAAAGGTGGAGAGGGCCACAACTCCTAGTGATTTATATTGCAAGCTGGCTTTTAAATACCTCCGGAGGGTTCAATCCAACTGTATTGGGTTGGCAGAACCAAAACCCACACCACCACACTGTCAAGCTCATAAGCATATTGAATTCCATGTATTAATGGATTTTGGATTGAATGAACAGTGGGCATGAATGAACTGATTTTTATCAAGCTGCTTCTCAGCCCCAAGGATCAGAGTTTATTTATTTACTTTGAAAAAGTTTAAAGAGAAGCTTTGCAGAGCAGGGATAAGCATTCAGCATTGGCATGACTGCGAACAAATTCTCTTGGAACCACCTGCCAATGTCAAGGCCGACTTCTCTTCCAAATATTTGTCTTCTGTTTGTCCTAATTATGTTATGATTTTGGAATTAATTCTGGTGAAATTTGGAAAACCTGACCTCACAAAGTCCTCCCACTGTTCTCTTTTGGAGGGTGAGATACAGGCCTGACTGGAATACATTCAAAACATGCACTTGATTCAGTTCCTGGCCAATACTTCCAAGTCTAACTCCTGCAGCCCAAAGTACACAAACAGAAATCTAAAGCAATGCATGGGGGAAAAATATCAGTGTCAGATGCTTCAGGGAAGAGCATATAATGTATTCTCACCACATGAGCTCAACTACTTGACTGAAATCTCAGAGTAATGAGAAAACTCCTTTCCTTAAAAAAAAAAAAGGCACCTTTGTGAAAAGATGAATATTTTGTTCTCATAATTGCTACAGTCCATTAAAAGACACCCACACAAGCAAGTTCCCCGGAAACACTTGTCTCTTTCTGCTTTCCTTTTTCCTATCAGGCCAGGAGTATATAGTTGCTTTTGATTCTTGAAAGGGGAAAAAGAGGGACAGTGACACATGCAACACTTTGAGAAATTTCCAGTTCTGTTTTGCGGACTGAAAAGCCAATTTTTCCCCCCAAGAAGATCTGCAGGAGTATTTGCTTCTGGGCAGGAACAAGTACAGAGTTAGTCACAGTGTTCTAGCGTGCCTGCTTCCTGGACCAGAAGGAACCAGGAAATGCAGAGGCTGCTATGAGAATTACCCCAAGTGTTTTTGCCCTAAGGAAAGGCTCTATTGAGGTACAGCATCTTTTCAGGAAACTATCAGCTTTTGCTTTACAAGTAAAAACCAGCGTGGAGACCACTCCTGACTATATGCTTCAGGTGACACTACAATGTGCAGCATCACCTGCCCTGGACTCCTCAGTCCTCGAGGTGAAGACTGGTTAATCTTCACTCCCTTATACCAGCTAGCAAAGAGCAGCTCAACATGCAGGCAGCTCATGGAGTCCTGCTAATTTCAGAGTCCTGCTACAGTTTTTCTCAGGAGAGCTGTGTCACTGACACTTAATCATACCATCGACCTCCCTGGGCAAGGGCTTTTATTACAGGCTGTTTTGAAGGTCAGTAATGCAGGGCTAATCCCTTTTTCTGATGCTCCCTCACGCTGGGAGGCCAGAATGCTAGACAACCAGCAGGATGTGCCTGTATGGTAAGGAGGCAGTTAAACTACACTAGCCTTTTTTCCTTTAGACAGAGCTGGTTTTGCACCAGAGATCACAAAGGCCTTCAAGTGCCTCCTCCAAGCTCTGAGGAGGGCTTTCAAAGCCCAGCAAAGAGAGCAGACCACTCAGGCTCACAGGATTAGGTCCTGTGAATGAACTGGCTGATTCTTATCATGGCTTTCCAAGCGCTGCATAAAAGTACCATGTAGCTGTCCCCAAGGCCAAGATGGGGTGTCCTTGCTAAATGTGGGGGCCTGAAGCATCCTAAGGGAAGTCCTGCCTTATAATCAGAGCCTGAAATAGCTCCTTCCCTGGGGGGGGGAGTACCTGACAGTGAACCTGAACTCCAGAGACACAATCATAGTTATCCCCTGCTGTAAGTATTCAATTAAGGAAGGAACAATAGAAAGCTTTCAGCAACCAAATACTGCACACTGCCAGCTTCCTGCAGTAGCTGCTCTCTGTAACCCCAGGGGTACACAGAGCCAGCACAATAAGCCAACTTGTAATTGCTCCATAATCCCATTCAAATATTCCTTTTTAGCACATGTGCAGTGGTGTTTTAATTGCATGGGGACATACTGCTTGGCAACTCCTACATTACCCAGTAAACAACAGCATTGTCTCTGCTTCAAATTCCATTAAGTGCCTGCTTTGCAGGCTGCCCTGTGCTCTCCAGCCTGGTTAATTAATGCATCTGTAATGTCCCTAGCTAATTATTGCCTCTGTAACTGCAAAAAGATGACAGAAGAGGTGTGGAAACAATAAACCTTACTTAAGAGCACATGGATGCAGCCACTTCCCACTTGCATACAACGTGCACTGTGCCCTCTGTGCTCTGAATATCTAAGCTTCAGCTTGCAGTGGGGCGGAGTAATTTGCTAGACTATCTTTCATACATGGCTGTGGGCTCTCTGCAAAAATCAGCGGTTTCATTTCATAAGCCTTGCTTATCCAAGTCCATGGGACATCTTGGGTGTAGTGAATCATTATGCCATATGCTCCTAGCCATCAAGTGCCACACCAACTTTGCCACTGCTGTTCTACAGTGCAGTAGCACTGTCTTGTGCAACCCTGAAGCAGTGACATTTCGGAGAGCACAAGAAATTGAGGGAGATTTCAAACTCTCAGAATTTCTTGCAAAAATAATCATAGTATTTATGGCCCTGATAAAGGCTGTTAATCCTTTTCTTAAAGTAGATATAACTATACATTTTGGGTTTAAATGGTACAGACATTTGGTATAGTTATAGAGAAGTGGTATTTGGTGACTTGGGCATTTCATTTAAATAAGCTTCATGCCAAAAGAATATCCTCATTTCCCTTTTGTCAGTCTAAGTAGATGTGCTTCAAACCTTATTTAAAAATAAAGTCGTAGAGATTTTTATTTTTCAAGTGTTTTATATTTTGCAGATAGTAAGACCATTAGAAGTTTAATTTTCTCTTAAACAATCTGGTTTAAAAGTGAAAAAGTATGTTTCTGTCAACAGTGTAAAATGTGAAATGATATGTGAAATCTTCAGCTTTCAAATTTTAGTTACAGCTTTCTCATCTCTTAATTCAGCAGCTTAACTTTCAGTTGCAAACAAAACTCAATTTTAATTGAAACCAGAAAAAAGTTTGTACAAAGTTATAAGCACATGCACCAAGTTTTCAATAAAGCTGGAACCAGTTCCAGGCTTTTTAGAAAGCTGGAGACCAGAGGACTGTCTCCTGGTTTCAAGTTCTGCAATAAACATTTCATAGAGTTTTAACGATAATTTCATTATAGCAGAATCCTAAGAAGTGGATTTTTTGTCTGTTGGCTGGAGTCACTACATCACAGATCAATAACAGAGTTTGTGCATGTTCCTCTTTAAGGCAGCCATAGATGCCTTCCTAAACTGCTCGTTTCTGGTTTCCAGTAGATGAAAAGATACAAAATATATTGCTATGTGTATTAAACCAGGTGTTTCATTACATTCGAGAACAGAGAGAGTCGCTGAGGAAAGACTGGTGTGTAAAATAGGTGTCAGGGAACTCTACCAGTAAGGCACTTTTCTGTCATCAATATCAGTTGGGATCAAGCGGCTTACATTTTATCAAAGACAAAGGAATGTTAAATACGTGCTGACAAAAAGCAGTTACTTGATGGCTCACTCGGTAAGGAGCCTGTGTTTTCTGCAGCGTACTCAATGGGAGTTGCAGATTTCAGAACGTTTCACTGCTTGCAATGCCACTGATTATGGAACTGGAGCAGACGCTTCTGGCTCTGCCACACTGCTAGGAAAAGTGGAGATTGCTCCCGATTTCCAGGTCTTGTATACCCTTAGGTTACCAGTTAAAATCAAACTTCATTATCACAGGCCAAATCTAACTGCATTTCCAGCTGTTTGGTTATCCAGAGATGAACCAGCAGTCTCTCTCCAACTGTTGGAGGATGCGTATTTTTGTCAAACGTACCGTCATAGCCAGTACCTGTACTGGCAGTTTAACAGGAGAGGGCAAGGGGACTGCAAAGCATGATCTATCAACCCAAGAAATTGCCACAGGCTTCAGTTTGATCACATCAACAGTATAGTTGAATCTTTCAGTACTGCTACACGGTCTGGACTTTCTCAGTGGGTAGAGATATCCCAACCCCTGGGGCTGTCAAGACAACATTTTTCACCAGCCTAAAATTAACTCTCCTCATTTAAATGCCACAGAGCTCAGTGATTATCTGCTGGCAAAATGTCATGGGGATGCTGACTGTACGTTAGCCGTATTTGCTAGGCTCTCTCTGCAGTTCAGACAAAGATATTGCTGGAAGTGATTTCACTTCTCTGTCCTTGTTTTCATACACTATTGTATGCAGGGTGACTTCTTCCCTTGTACTGGATGCACATAAAGCTGCATAATACATACTCTGCTCCTTCAGCTGAGCTCCACCTACACTACAAGAGTACAGAGAAAGAACTGA